CCCGTCCCCGCTAGGCCCCCTCAGCCAGGAGGATGTTGCTCAGGGGGGAGTTCGGGCAGCGGTCGCTGTCCGTGGTGCTGAAGTGGCCCTGTGCTGGGCATGCTCTGGGCTGGGGAGGGGCACTGCTCACCCAGGCTTTAATGGAAACCACCCCATCAATAGCCCCTTCTCATTCCTGGATTGCCAGCTGGCTAAGAAAAGCACGCCAAAGGCCTCTCTGAAGATGGCGCTGGCTCACCAATGCCTTCTTGAGCATGTGCATGAGGAGGTCCTAGGGCTGCCTTGTTGCGTGCAAAGCCCACACGGCCATTACCTGGTGGAAATGTCCACTTCCTGGGGCTGCTGGGAATGTGCGTGGAAGCCAGAAGAAGGGGCTTGTGGCCGCTCAGTGCATGTTAGGGACCATCGGCCCCTCACCAACAACAGCAGGGGACCCTGGCATGGGCTCTCACCAATGACAGTGGCCTCCAGGCTCCTGGAACAGGGCAGGAGTGCCCAGGGAGGCCTGCATGGTGCAATATAGTGTGGACCAAAGGGTGGTCCTGGCCCCTGAATCAAATCCTCACTGTTAACAGGCAGCATCCCCCGACCTGCCCAGAACCAGTGGTTTCTCACACTACCCGGCTCTGAGTTGGGGAAGAGAGACACTAAGGAGTCCATCCAAATTCTCTTCTATAAAGTGTCCAGTAGACTTCAAGCCCCACTTCTTGTCCTTCATCCTGACAAATACCACCCTGCCCTCCACGATGGCCCCAGACACACGGAAGGAGGAGACATGGCATTTCCCCCACACCAAGGACACTGGGTGGCAGGCTGGCTGTTTGCAGGACAAAGGTCAGGACAGGGAGATCCTTTCCTCTGTGGGACACAAACGGGTAAGTGGGCATCCCTCACTAAGATGCGGTTCCAACCCCAGGGCCATAGACAAAACAGGGAACACAGTGGTGCATGGGCTGTGGTCCCCGGGCAGGGCTGCTGCCTGGCCCCCCATGTTAAGAGCGGGCTGTGTAGGTACAAGGCCTGCAGGCCGGCTCCCTGCCAGGCTGTCATGAGATCACGCAGACGCTCTGGGTCAGGGAGGAGGAGAAGGTATCAGCTGCCCAATCCTGCCCTACACTGCCTGCCGCTACCCCCCAGAGCAATCTGCTCAGCCAGCTAAGCTCCATTAGGCAGAATCTACATCAGCCTGATGTGAGCTCCGTGAGCCCCTGTGGGCACCAGGGCATGCAACAGGAAGAAGGGGGAGCGCAGGGAGGGGCAGCCCAGAGCCTGCCACTCAGAACACCCAACCAGGCCACACTGGCTCCTGCCAGGACCACTGAGGTCTTCCTGACTCCCGGTACCCACAGCAGCCCCCTACCCTCCCTCACTCTACTGCCAGAGCCTCCTGGCTGGGCACCGCCCTCCGGGCAAGAGAGGTGGCTCTAGGCCAGGGGTTCCCATTATGGGCACATGCCCTGCAGGGGGGAAATTTGAGAATGAGTTATTAACAGTGGATATTTTGCATTTCTTATGGTTCTAGGGGCCATATATAGTCTATAAATATATATTGTGACATTTATGCATTTCAGGTCTCTATTATGTTTTGAAACTTTATTTTCTATTTTTTCATATCACTTCATATATTTTTTTTTAACAATTTCTTAGTGATTTCTCCCTCAGTACCTCAACTGTCCTTTCGTTCTTTTATTTTTCTCTTTCATGGATGCCATGTTCTTTGGAAGCTTGTTTAGACCAAGTTAATGGCCTTTTAGGCTCCCTCCACGTGAAAAGTTCACTTTTTGAATAATAAGAATTCTATGTCACGGACGGGGGGGGAGGGACAATCAGGATTTTAGAGGTGCTTAGGTGGGGCGTGGCCAGGAAAAGGTTGGGAGCCACTGCTCTGGGCCATCTCTACCAGGCAGACAGGGGGCCTCGGGCTGGTGAGTGCAGGGACACTGACCACGTGTGGAGCTACAATCACAGAGACTACCTCCAACCCTGATCAGACTCAGGATCTCAGTCTCCCCGTGTGGGGTGGACAAGTGGCCGGCCGGCAGAGAGCTGTAAGGACAAGCTGAAAGGATGAACGTCCAGTAGGTCCGGGGCACCCATACTCATGCACGCCTGCTCCCAGACACACCGTGGGGGCCCGAGGCCCAGCACCTGGGCCAGATGCTCCCCGCTTAGCGTAGGCAAAACCCTCCTTGCCCCTCTGCTCTGCATGGGGGGGCCTGCCACCCCCCTAGCCTGCGTGCCCATGCCTGCCAGCATTTCCCCCACCCCCTTCATTCTCAGGGGCATTCAACCTTGCTTTTCCAATTTGCTTGAGAGGAAAAACATGTTTCCTCGTGGGAGAAAGCCCATCCTGCAGAAATAAATGACCCTGGGCCACTGGAGAGGGAACATGAACTGAGCGCACACAGGTGAGAGGGTCAGCAGGGCTGGAGCGAGAAGGGCAGCTCCAGGGCCCAAAAAAGTACCCCACACGAGGCCAAGGTGGTCGCGGACTCAGGGGCTCAGTGGGCAGCACTCAGTGGAGATACTCAGAGAACTAGCCCCTTCTCAGAAAGCAGCACAGCTTCCTGAGCCCCAACCCTGCTGGCCCCGTCTACACGTCCCCTGAGAACCAGGGCAGCTCCAGGGAATTGTGGAGGCTCCAGGACCAGCCACCTAAGTCCCCCTGGCCGGGGCGCAGGCCCAGCGAGCCAGGCAGCACCGTCTGTTATCTTGTAAGGTTAAAAAATGTCAGAATGTGCCCTGACCGGTTTGGCTCAGTGGACAGAGCGTCGGCCTGCGGACTGAAGGGTCCCAGGTTCGATTCCAGTCAAGGGCACGTACCTTGGTTGTGGGCACATCCCCAGTAGGGGGTGTGCAGGAGGCAGCTGATAGATGTTTCTAACTCTCTATTCCTCTCCCTTCCTCTCTGTAAAAAAATCAATAAAAATATTTTTAAAAAACCCTGTTAGAATGTGTCTACTGCCAGGTGCGTGAGGCCACAGAACGCAGGCAGCTAAAAAGGAGGCAGCAGCGCTGCCTGTATCAGCAGAAACACGTCCTGAGAGGAGGAAGTGGAAGGGCCAGTGGTGGGAGAACAGGTGACCCATCGATGCAAAAGCCTCAGTTCGGAACAACGCCTCTCTAGAACATGTTAACACACGTGAGCACAAGGCATAGGGAGTTCCGGAAGAGCCCCCTCCAACAGGAAGAACCATGGCTCGTTGTGGGGAGGGGGGGAGATAGGGGCACAGGCAGGGAGTGGATTCGGGAGGAGTCAAGAGGCTACTTTTGCTCCCCGCCCCCCCCTGCTTGCTGGGCCTCCCCACAGTGTGGCTGTGCGTTGCTTGTGTGGTTACAGAAGTGAGGGGTCAGAAAGCCCAGCTGTGTGGTCTGCGGAACTGGTGGCATAAGTGGGGTGGGGGAAGGGTCCCCTGCCTCATGGGCTCCCCTAGCACGCAGGGGCTCCCTACCCACCCGGAGCAGGCACACTTAGCTCCTTGCTGTGGAGCAGCAGGCACAGCGCCTCAGCTGGTGACCCAGAGCTTCCAAGTTGCCACGGCAACAGACTCCTATCAGCCTCTTCCCTCGGTGGGCCGGGCATCTGAACAGGGAGCTGAGACACACACACTGACGAGGGGGTTCTCCCGGACCGGCCTCACACCTGCAGGGATCCTGAAGGAGGTCTGGCGGTGCACGCCCCAGACCCTGCGACGGTTCCCACCTTCTGCTCCCATGCGCCACATGCGGGCTTTTCTGAGCACCTGCAGGGGGCCTCAAGAAGGCAGACAGGAGGGGTGAGCGGGGCAGCAGGGCCCTCTGTGAGTGGTCATTTCTCCACGGACCCAGATGGCTCCTGGCAGGACCCAGCGACACCGTTTGAGTGCAGATCCCACGCAAGGGCTTGTCCGAGATGCTGCATCAACACAGCTGGAAGCTAAGCATCAAACCTAGGGCTCACATGTGACCCAGCAATGCCACGTGTGGGTACACACCCAAAGGAACTGAAGACGGTGCTCCGACAGGTGCCGGTACACACGTGCTCACAGCAGCACGACTCACTGCGGCCAAAAGGTAAAAACAAGCCAAATGCCCATTAATGCACAAGTGGCTGAACAAAATGTGGTGGATCCACTCAGTGGACCGTTACTCAGCCACGAAATGGAACGAAGCACTGACGCACGCTAGACATGGATGAACCTTGAAACTGTTATGTTCAGTGAGATAAGCCAAACAAAAGGACACGCATTATATGATGCCATAGACATGAAATGTCCAGACAGGGGCATCCACAGAGGGAGCGGATTCGTGGCCTCCTGAGGTTGGGGATGCGATTCCCTTTGGGTGGCGGCAATGTTCTGGAACCAGTCAGAGGTGGTGATTACAGAACATTGTGACTGTGCTAAAAGCCACTGGACTGTTCATTTTAAAATGGCTAACTGTGTGGTATATGAATTTCACCTGAATAATCGTCAGACTTGGTGTATTTGGAATTCTCTTTTCAACAACTCTGTCTTGCCTGTACCCCAGGCCTGCAGTCACCTCACTCAAACCACCGCTAGGATGGAGACATAGAGACCCAGCACCTGGGCAGCACAGTGGGGATTCGCCCTGGCTCTTCTGCCATGCGGCCTCCGCACAGGGTGCAGCAGCCCCCTAACCTGGATGCATGCCACCTTCTAGGTGATGTGCTCCCCAGCACGCCCTGGGGGTCCCCAGCACCCCAGAGCACTCCTGGTGGCCTCTCGCCAACCAGCCTTGGGTGATGGTGATGCTGTTTGAGATCTGCCTCCTACGGGTGGGTCCAGATGCCCAGGAAGGGTGGGGTCCCGCAGCAGAGTCCAGTGACGCCCCCCAGACCTCCATGGCTACCAGCCAGGGCTCGGGGCTCGGGAGTGTGACAAGCAGCTGGGCTGCAGCTAATTCGCAGCAGGCAGGGCTGAGTCTAACCAACGGGGAGCCAGGCCCTCTGCACCTTCAAAGGTGAAGCCGTAGCTGCAGGCAGGGTGCTGAGGTCATGCCGCCTGGCATCCACCCTCTGACCCCAGAGTCAGGTGTGGTCCCCCAGTCCCAGCAGGTCCCAGGCTCCAGCCCTGCACTCCAGGCCCTCGCAGGCCTCACCGCTCCTGCAAGTGATGCCCAAAGACTTCGGGACTCAGCCCTGGCCGGAGCCTCAGGCAGGGTTCTGCTCCTGGTCTCAGGGACCCAGCCTGTGTGGCAACCTGCGGGGGTTCCCATCCCTGAGACACTGAAAACCCCCTTTGGGCAGAGGGCGTGGGCCCT